TGTAGATTGGCAGGCTTTGGATGGTGTTTTCTGTTTCATTACTTGTAATTCATCTGTTTAAATTATGTATATCCTCCTGATTCAGTTTGGGTAGTTTATATGCTGTAGAATGTTTTCGATGTCTTCAAGATTTTCTATTTTATTGGAATATAAATTTTCAAAATAGTTTCTAATTATCTTCTGTATTTCATTAGTGTCCATTGTGATATTTCCTTTTTCATCATATATTTTAGTAATTTGCATTTTCTCTCTTTGTTAGTGGGGCAAGGGGTTGATCAATTTTATGATGACATGCATTCTTAATGCTCAAGAAATCTGTGTAATGATCCAACCCCACTAACCCAGAACCTTACTTGTTTCACTTGTGGTCAAGGCACCTTGAGGCTGGAAAGGTTCACATGTGCCCAAGACAACTAATGCTGTATTAGTGGCAGGGCCACAAACTGAATCTAGAATCAACCCCAAGCACTCATCTTTCTTTCTGTGCATGAGGGACACAGTAGTATCTCCCTATAGCATTCTACCTCAGGGAATGCATGATCTGTCGTCTGCCAGCATGTCTAGTGTGATTCCTGCTTTTTACATTCTGTATCTTCTTCTTGCAATGTTCCCTGTCCCCATCTGTCTTCCTTGAAAGCATTTATTAATATTTCAAGCCAGATTATCACTTCCACTGGGGATCCTTCTCCACCTACCCACCACCACCCCACCTTCCATCAGTTTCTCTCTTTCCTGCTACATCTATTCCCTTACGATTTATTCAGCAGCTAGTGGTACCAGGCACTAAGGTAAACAAAAGTTCTCTACCAGTGAACATGACTGAGGAACTCCCTGCCCATGTGGAGCTTTTGATCTGTTGGGGAAGGCAGCCACTGAAAACAGAGATGCATGTGTGGTTATAACTGGGATGACTGTCATGATGAAAACAGCGAGTGCCCCTGGCCCCCAAAGAACCTGGTGGAGGAACAAATGAACCTTCATGTTGTCATGTTGCAATTTACACATCAGTCTTCTGGGAGAGGCTGAGCTCTCCTTGATTCTCCCCAACTCTGTTTCCCTGGCACTGTGAGCACCTTGGGCTCATGAATAAGGAGGAGGCAGGGAGGTTGGCCTCTTCTCTCATCTGACCCCGCATCAAGGATGAAGAGCCTCTCATCCTGGTGGCTGCTTAGGCTTTTGGAGCTCTGTGCAAGTACCTGAAAGTCCACCAGAGTAAGGAAGGAGGCTTTGGTCAGGGAGAAGGTGTGATCCTGGGATGTGAAAACTATGTCACTTTCAGATCAGTGGTGGGGGCTGTCCTCAGATAACCTCAATGTGTGGGTCAGGGAGGTGGATCTTTGGGGAGAAATTACCTAGGAACAGGGGCAATGGCCTGATCTGAGAGTATTTATACCTACACTCTTCATTCTTCTTGATAAGAGTGTATTGCATTCTCTTTAGAAAGACATGAATATGTCTATAGAAAGCTTATACCCAAAAGACTTAAAATCAACATACTATAGTGATGCAGCCACATCAATGTTTATAGCATCTCACAATAGCCAAGCTATAGAACCAACCTTGGTACCCTTCAACAGATGAATGGATAAAGAAAATGTGGTATACATACACAGTGGAATATTACTCAGCTATAAAGAAGAATGAAATTATGGCATTTGCCAGAAAATGAATGTAACTGGAGACTGTCATGCTAAGTGAAATAAGCCAGTCTCAAAAAACCAAAGGCAGACTGATCTCTCAGATATGTGGATGCTAACCCATAACAAGGGAGGGTAAGGAGGTGAAGTATAGAAGTTCATCAGATTAGACAAAGAGTACCAAAGGGAAGGGAGAGTGGATGGGGATTGGAAAGAGAGCAAAATGAATCAGTCATAACTTTCCTATGCTCATATATGAATACACAACCAGTGTAACTGCACATCATGTACAACCACAGGAATGAGATGCTAAATGGAATGGGTGAACTCCATGAACACATACAATGTCAAATTACACCCTATTGTAATATATATCTAAAAACAACAAATGAAAAAAAAGACAAGTAAGATCGACAAACCCTCAGCCAAACTAACCAAAGGTTTAGAAGAGCCAAATCAACAAAATTAGAGATGAAAAAGAAAACATAAGCACACACTTCTGAAATCCAGAGGATCGCTAGAAACTTTTGAAAATTTTTACTCCAATAAAATGGAAGATATTGACAGATTTCTAGCCACGTATGACCTGCCCAGAGTGAACCAGGAAGACATAGAAAACATGAACAAACCAATATCAAGTAATGAAATTGAAACAGCAATTAAAAGCCTTCTAACAAAGGAAAGCCCAAGTCCACCTGGATTCTCATCTGAGTTTTACCAGACTGTTAGAGTGTAACCAATTCCAGTCCTCCTCAAAGTATTCTATGAAATTGTAAGGGAAGGAAGACGTCCAAATGCATTCTATGAAGCCAGTATAGCCATGATACCAAAAGGAGACAAAGACGTGTCAAGGAAAGAAAACTACACAACAATATCCCTGATGAACATAGATGCAAAAATCCCTGATAAAATCGTAGCAAACCACATTCAAAAACAAATTAAGAAGAAAATACATCATGATCAAGTAGGTTTCATTCCAGGGATGCAAGATTGGTTCAATGTATTCAAATCAATAAATGTAATTCACACAAATAGAATTAAGAATCAAATGATCATCTCAATAGATGCAGAAAAGGACTTTGATGAAATCCAGCATCCATTTATGTTAAAAACACTAGAAAAGTCAGTGATACAAGGAACTTACCTCAACATTGTAAAGGCTATGTATGACAGACTCAAAACCAACATCATACTGAACAGAGAAAAAGTGAATGTATTTCCTCTAAAAACAGGAACAAGAAAAGCAGTATGGAGATTCCTCAAAAACTCGGAATGGAACCACTATATGACCCAGATATCCCACTCCATGGTATTTTTCCAAGAGAACTAATAAAAGCAGACTAGAGCAATACACCCTCGATGTTTATAGCAGCACAATTCACAGTAGCCAAATTATAGAATCATCCCATATGCCCCTCAGTAGTTGAATGGATTAAGAAATTGTGGCATGTGCACAATGGTTCTTTACTTAATCAATAAAGAATAATGAAATTATGACCTTTGATAATAAATGGACAGAAACAGAGAATATCATGCCAAGTGGAGTAAGTGAGTCTCAGAAAATCAAGGGTCAAATATTTTCTCTCACATATGTGAAAACTAGAGAAAAATAAAGGAACATTGGAGGGCAGGATTTTTTTTAAAAAAGGATATTTCAGCTTTTGGAAAGAGTCAAGAGAAGTAATCAGCTATTGCAAAAACTAAAAATGCACCTATACAAAGAGAATATCAGTGAGCTATTCAACCGTAGGCTCAGAGTTAATGAGGACCACATGATAAGACACTCACTCTCAGCTTTACTTTTAATGTTAGCAAGAAATACCTGCACTTGATGTCATAGGATTATTATTAAGACGTTTATTCTTTGTTAAATTACATCCCTTAAGTTCTTAAACTGAAATGTTCTTTGTAAATTTTAAGTATAATCTAAATTTTAAGTATAATCTAAACTTGCAGCTTTTAAATAAAATGAACTTGCTCCTCTTTTTCTTTTACCTTTTTTTTTTTTTTTGTCAATTTTGGTAGAACCTTAGAAATATAACATTTCTTTTGTATCCACTTGAGTTGAAAACTTGTGATATAATTTATATATTTTTATTTTTCTTCTAAAGGGAATGGTTTATTTAAATAAAAATGAGATCATTACTAATGGAACTATTAATTATTTAAGGTAAACTGTCCAAAATATATGGAATTACTCATAGAAATTTTATTACTCTATACTGTTATAGTTAGAAAAACAGACTTTAATAAAATCCAGATGACAAATAGCCAGGATCTTTAACATCTTTTACTTTGCATACTTAAAGCATTTGTAATTTCCATTAGGAAGTTTTATTTATATTTATGAAATTCTTTTATTTATTCTTTTTCAATTATTAAAAGAATTACACTATTTTAACTGTTTATATTTATAGGAAACATTTAATCTTGTAAAATGGAAAGTTCTATTTGGTTTTCTTCTTAGACTTAAAAAAATAATAAAATCAATAAATTTAAGGCCTGTTTTAAATAGAACTCTCTTCAATTGCATCTATCATATCATATATGCACGTGGAAATATAAATGGTTTTTTTACAGTTTTCATTACAACATATTATTGTACCAAAGAAATTTTAATTAAAAATCTATAAAAACTAATTCATACATTATGCAAATTTTAATTCTATAATGATCAAGAAAAATCTTTACAAATATTGGAAAAAGAGTGTTTGCCAATTTAATGAAATTTTGTAATTTTTTTATTACAAAAAATATGTGGAATAGATGCTTAAATACTTGTTTTATTGGCTTCATTTGAGAGGTGGTAAAGAAATTTGGGGGCTCAATGGAGTCCTCCACATAGGTGTTCTAAATTTTACCATCAGTATCCCTATACCTTTTCCCAGTGTGTTTTTTGTTTCTTTTCTTTTTTTTTCTTTTCTTCTAAAAGTGTTCTCTTTTGGAGAGGGGACATAATTAAACTCCCCCTGGTGCCTGTGTGCTGCAGTCTACCCAGCAGCTATGCTCCCTGGACTGTCCCAAGGTTCCTGCAGGGACAAGGAATCTGAAAAGGGCCAGAACCAAGAAGCAGGCTTGCCGCAGCGCCCACTCAGAGCAAGGAGCAGGGATCAGGGAGCACACTGTACCAACATCAGATGTTTCTGGTGGCAGGTGTGTGTCGGGCTGCTGTGGGTGATTGGACAGGCCAGCTGTCCCAGCCTGGGGTTTTTGTGTGACAAACTCAGCTCGTTGGTCAGAAGGTTCACGGGCTCCGGTTTATTCACTCCTTCACTGAGAATCGAAATTGGAAGAGGTGGCTAACTGCTGATTGAAGTGGAATTAAACCAGAATTGATTTGTCCTTCGTTATTTTGTGTTTCAGAGACTAGAGCACAAGGAAGTTTTAGTGGGCCTGTTGTTCCTGGTGTTCCCATTCATTCCAGCCAGCAACCTCTTCTTCAGGGTGGGTTTTGTGGTGGCCGAGAGAGTCCTTTACACGCCAAGGTAATTATCACAGCAATTTGCTCTTTACCAGCCCCGCCCTTAGGTCCTCAAGCAGCTCAGACTTTAATACCTTCAGACAGCCACACAGAAGGCTGGGTGAGACCATGCTGGTGACATTCACTCTAGTTCCTGGTGATTCTCTGCCCATTACAACTTCACAGTTAAACTGGAATACTGACTTCAGTATATTTAGGACATTAGCTGCAGTTGCTTACCACACCATCTTGTCCAAATGTTTTGTTAAATATAATTATTATAAATTTTCAGAAATATTTGTTGATTTGCATAAAATTATATGTTCATGATCTTCTTCCTTGCCCTCTTTTTTTTCTTTAATTTAAAAGTGGGAATAATCTCAAGAAAATTTATCCTCGAGAAAATCCCTATGAAGCTGGGCATGGTGGCACATGCTTGTAATCCCAGTGGCTTAGGAGGCTGAGGCAGGAGGATTGCTAGTTCAAAGCCAGCCTCAGCAACTTAGTGAGGCACTTAGCAACCCAACAAGATCCTGTCTATAAATAAAATATGAAAAAGAGCTGGGGATGTGGCTCAGTAGTTGAGCACCCCTGGGTTCAATCCTAAGTACCAAAAAAGAAAAACTGTGTGTGAAATAAAAGTGATTTAAAAATTATAAAGGATATTCATATATGTGTGCATATATAATGTACTTAGCTCTGAGCATGTGTGAACTGTGCTGAAGCTGGTCTGCTCTCTTAACAATCAAATGTCATTGTTCCAAGACCACTTTTTTTTTCAGATGCCCAGAAATATCACTGAAGCAGGAGATAGGCTTAGTTTTGCCATTTACCAGTTGTGTGACCTTGAGCGAGACATGATGTTTTTCTGTACCAGATTTTCTCATTTCTAAAATTGAGATTTTAGTAAAATCCATAAATTTAGTATTTTGGTCTACAATGTTGTCTTTTTGAATAGTTCATTTTTATAAAAGTTTAATAATAACTTCTATAAGTTCTATAAGAATGGATTTTTCTAAAAGGCAATATAATCCAAAATATTTTAAGAAAATCATTATTTTTGTTTATGATATTTCACTAGGAATTTTAAAACACTTTTAATTAGAAATGAGATTTATAATCTCCAATTCTCCTAAACCAAAACTATAGCTTTCCTAAGTCTATGCTTATGCAGCATTATGTTTAAACTTGGCTAGTGCTTGGCCAAGGGTAGCCTTTACTTTGTTTTAGGTGTCCTCAGAACAATTTGAAAAGGAAGTTATTGCTTTATACGTATTATTTGATACAGACAAATATACAGCACAATTCTTTGTATTTTTTGTTACTTATAGCTAAGAGGATTTTGAGAAGTTGCCATACTAATTTATAGAAGGGCAAAAGGCAACATCAATCTGTGTAAATTTTTTTTAATCCCTTTCGTGGTACTAAGGGTTGAACCCAGGTCCTTGCTCATGGTAGGCAAGTACTCTACTACTGAGCTAAACCTCCAGCTCTTTTTAAATTTTGTTTTAAGACAGGATCTCCCTCAATTGCTGAGGCTGGCCTCAAATTTGTAAACTTCCTGCCTCAGCCTCCCCAGAAGCTGGGATTACAGACATGGGCCAATGTGCCCAGCTATGATGTTTTTGCTTAGGTCAAGTGAAAGTATCTTTAGTCAGCTTTTTTCTATAGTACTGATGCCTCCACGTTCTTCATTTAACAGAGCTTATAGAGTATTTTTTATCATAAATGATGTAGTAGGATCTGAGGCTACAAAAAAAAGTAATTGCAGTATCTGCCTTAAAAGAGTTCATTAACTGTTGACTGACAAAATGGAGTATTTCATAAGACTTAATATTCTTTACAATATTATTCTGCTCTTTAATGCCATTTTACCATTAATTGTATTCAAGCATTTATTGAGCTTTTATCATATTTCAGTCTCCACGCTAAGGATGTTGTCATCATGTCCATTAATTCATGCTAATCTAGTGGTTCACTGCCTGCCCCATCAAGTGATAGGGCCTGCCTTCAAATTCCTACTTCAATATCAATGTGATTTCTCCCAGCTTCAGTTTCTTGATTATATAAAATAGGGATAATAGCAACACACAAGTCAATGGGATACTGTGATCATTAAATGAGATGACCATATACAGAACTTAGGAAGTGTTTGGCATTGTACATGGCCAATGAATATTAAGTAGTAGTGTTGTTGATAAAAGCCGATACCATGATCATTATGTTACAGAAATAGCTTTGAGAGGGTTAGTAACTCACTTGAGGTGATACAGCTAGTAAGTAGCAGAGCTGGAATGCAGATATTCTCTCCTGACTCTTGTCTCACCTTGCAGACCTTATTTCATTTTGATAGAAAGAAAAAGAAGAAAATGGAAACATAATAAAGCAATTTCAGCTCAACTCCATTTAGCGATAGAGACTTGGTATTGCCAAGAATCCTGAGATCTGAATCTTCAGGAATTTGGGGTTCTGGGTGACAGAGAATGACAAGTACAAGGAACTGTTTTCTGAGTCCAGACCCAGGAGATCATTGGTGAAGGGAGAAGGAAGGCTCTCATGTTATGGAAGCCTACAGTAGCACCCTCAGTAGTTTGTGGGGTGTTTTCATTAAAGTCAGGGCTTTCTCTTGCTCAGGCAGGTATGTCCTCCACACACCACCCAGCTCATGCCAGCTCAGGCTCTTCACATTTGCCATGTCTCAGTGACCCTTCCTGTGGTACTATATATTTGTCTAGAAATAAAATGCTCATTTTTCCTAGGAATAATCTGACTTGGGTTACAATAAAATTGTTGCATATGAAGAAAGCATCAGTTTAGCCAAGAGCAAGTGCCTGCCTTTGGGAACCAATTTGGATTTGCTTCATTTGGCAAACTCAGTGAAGAGGCATCCAAAAACAAATTCAGTAAGCTAGTCTGCATTAAGAAGATGACTGTCCTTTTCTGTCCAGGTTCCTGCATCCATGTGTTGCAGCATTGTTGCCAAGTTGTCATTTCTGAGGGTTTCTCTTTGCTGCCCTGTGACTTCTGGATTCACAGGCACGTCATTACCGTGCCCATCGTGACTGCTGCCCCTTGCAGTGGTGTAGTCTCAGCAGATGTCCAAGCCATGTGATCAAGGAGGTGGAGGTGCTTTCCTGTTTCTGAAGGATGATCCTGGGGGACCCAGGTCATTCCACTGGGTCTGCAGTCCTGACTACGTTTAAGAGTGTAACCTGGATTTTGGAAACTTGGGGTGAGAGGAAGCCTAGGAATATTTCAATGGGATGTCACATCTCTAAGGAATCCCAACCTTTCCACAGTCATTGTTGTAACTAAACTAGCAAGGGAGCGTCTTTACTTAGGCACTGGATTCCTTTTTATCTATTGTGTTGTGCAAGTGAAGTAGCCCAGATTGTCAGTAATTGAAGCCCATGTGAACACACTGCTGTAGCTTCAGGGTTTCTAATGACTTCACCAGAACCATTTTGTAAATATTGAGCTATCTTGAAAAATGACAGACTTTTTCACAAACAGATTTTACCTAACAGTGACCAGCTGCCCTGTCTTAATGGAAAATAGTAGATAATTGGGGATAGAACAGTTGAAGTCCTCTCCAGGGCCAAGCAGAGTGGGGTGGATGCTGTGGGTCTCCTGGAGGTGTCAAAGCACTGGATAATGCTTGCTTCATTTAATAAACCTGAAGATAGAATTTGACCATGATGCAGAATATCTCCTAAACCAAACTGTTTCTTCTTTCCTTATTATTTTTTTTCCCTAGTTCTGGGGATCAAATCCAGGGCCTTGTGCATGCTAGGCAAGTACCACTGAGCTGTACCCCCAGCCCTCAACCTTTTACACAATTAGAAATCTTCTCTGCACGAATCTCCTTCTGTTGTTGACCTTGTCTTGAAACAGCCACTTTCTACATCATTAGTACCCAGGCTCTTTGAGGAAAATATATATGATGTCCTCACTGACATCCCTGAAAATGCAGGTCATCTTTATGCAGAAATTATGTGTTGGCTCACAAATTTTAGGCAACAATAGGAATATGAACCAAAAGCTCAGCATGGAGATGTGGCTCGGTGGTAGTGTGTGTGCTTGCTATGTGCGAGGCCCTCAGTTTAATTCCTAGCACCAGGGAGAAAAAAGAGGAAAAAAAGGTGAATTTTCTCTCGTTATATGTTTGTTTCAAGTTATTATGAAGCCAAATCCTGGACTCTGGCCTAAGGTGCTCATACCTGACTGTCCTCATATCCAGCCCTACTGAAGGCTGGGTAAATCCCCTCAGTCCCAGGAGGCTGATGTGGCCATTCTACAAGAAGGGTCTAGTATGAGTCAGACTGACAGTCTCTTCCACCCCCGACCTTTATTCCTAACTAGGAACAAACCCCTTAAATCTTCTGGCTTCTCTTCTTCCTCCAGCCTAACCCAGAAAATACCCAAAATATAATCCTCCTCTCATTTTCACTTGGAAATCTGTGGATAAAAAGGGCAGAAACCAGCTATTTGCCTGGCACTCCCTGGTGTTTAGGGTCAGAGTTTTTACCATCAAAATAAATTGGAATAATATTTTCTTTTGGTGATAAATGCCCACTTTGTGGATGCCCTTTTTGAACAGGCAAGAGAGTTGGAGGTTGAATTCATTCTTAAACAGATTTTGCTCTCTGATTCTGATCCCAAGAGAAGCATATAATTTTATGGTAAGACTCCAAAGGACTGAAATTTCTGGAAATTGATGAAGCAGAAATAGTTGATGAAAGCTCTCAAATAAAGTTATATAAAGTAATTGAACATTCACCCACATGCCAGATTCAGGATGATTTATTCACTTCAGTGCCAAAGAGCAAATTCCTTAGCTACTTTAGGAAAACTTCAATGAGTAGAGAAGGGAAAGGAATAGACAGGAATTGAAGGTAGAAAAATATTTGGGGATAGACACAATCAAGAATTACTGAGGCTACACAAGAAGTTGGATGGCATGAATCTGAGGGGAAAAAAGTAAAAAGTGCCCCATACTCTTAGACAGGGATGCCATTTGTATTG